TGTGGGGTTGCTGTTTTACTTTGCTCTTCATCCTATCTTTGCTTCTCTCAGCGTTGCCCCTCTCCTGCCTGCCCCCTCTCCCTGTCTTTTTACTTCAATCGCTCTTTATTTGAATGCTTGCTTTCTGGAAGTCTTTTTATAGAATCTGATGAAGTGAGCTGTTGCTTTCAAAAGCATATGTGTTTCTGAATTAGTGTGTAAGGTGCACCTCTACCCTCCTTCTGTCTCATGCACACACTTGTACACATGCACGTGCACACTTCATGAAACGTCCTGGCTGTAGTGCATTCCCCCACCCTGTGGCTGTTTTTGTATCATGCTAAATTGCACTTCCAATGAATTCCAATGATAAGCTCCTGTCTGGGCACAGAGCTGTTCTGTGTTTCCCATGTTGCATCTAACGTGTGGCCTCAGACCCAGTGATAGTGAACAAACGATGACGCTTTCCTTAAATCACGCATATCCAGTGATCGATTGGCCATGAACTAGAAGCGACTGCTGTATCGGTTTCAAGCCCCTTTCCAATATCATTTGAGTTTTTCACGAGCATTTTTCTCGAAACTGCCTCGGAGAGAATCCCGGAGCTTTGCAGGTTGGAGTGCAAACATGACCGTGTTGCTCCAGAAGCCCCAGCTGTTTCAGTGGCACAAGCAACACAGTGCTGCCTTCGACACAAAGAACAGATGACCGTGCTATTCCTGACCACAGCCAGCAAGAACTGAATTTTACACACTAATGTTTGTCTCTCTTATGAATGCTGGTCCCCACTCTGCTTCTAATGACATAATTTACACGTTTTCCAACATCTAAGAAGAGTGTCGATCAGCCATGTGCTTTTCATCCTCTTGCTAGCTGTTTTCCACTGTTTCTTTCCCCCTGAGATCCTTCCCTTCCTTAATCCTATCCTATAGCCTTTTTTTCGCTCTGTTGTATCTTTGTCCTGGAAGTGACTCCCTTCCTCCAACTGCTGGAATCTGGCTTTTTCCTATTGCAGTGTGATAGTCATGGCTAAATGTGGCATTGCTGCTTCAATGCTCTTTTTGTTCACTGCCTGAAGTCTCATTAGACTTGGGTTGCTAATGGGTGGAGTGTCGTATGTTTGCTTAAGAGAGCTATGTGTGGCAGTGAACAATGCAGCTGATGTCTCCCAGTGCCCAGACCTGAACTCCCTGAGCATACACAGCTTTCACCCCCCGTTACCCCATGCGTTCTTTGAAAGCTGTAAAGTGGGATTACAAAGCTAATGAAAACAGACTTCCAACAGGATCTGTGTTTCCCAGTCAGCAAAATGCTTATGAAATGTCCATTTTCCCTGCAGCCAGGACCTACTGGCTTTCCTTGCAGATGCCCACAGATTGTCAGACACAGGATGATAGATTGCGAGTTGGGGTTTGAAAAGCACCCCCGCGGTGTAGAGGCTGTATGCACATACTGCATCATTCTCCTACATTTGAGGATCTACCTGATGCTCTTGTCTATCCTGAAGCACCTACTGTAAGTCAGTGGCAGAAGGGCTGAATATCCTCAGCTCATAGTTTCATAGTTTCTAGGGTCGGAAGGGACTTGAGCAGATCATCTAGTCCGACCCCCTGCCATGGCAGGAAGAGCACTGGGGTCAAATGACCCCAATAAGGTGGTCATCCAA